GTGTGTACGGAAATGTTGGAACTCCGTCAACTGTCCCCGAAGCAGTCTGCATGGTCCCTTTCATGGGATCACACGTAGGTGTGAGCGCCTTGAGGGTATCCGGGTCAGACAGCAAGCTCGGGTCAAGTTCTGCAAACATGCATGTTTCCATTTGCGCCCATCATTGAACGCCTTGGTGTATATGTCAGCCGCCATCCTGTCGGTGACCTCATACGCCAAATACATGTAATCACGTGTGAACATCTCATGCATCCACGAAATGCTAACACCATGGCTTCTCTCAAGGTGGCGCATCGTGGGGTTTCTCCCCGACCGCGCGACACCGATCATAGCCTTGTTATCGTCATAGAACACAAAGTGGTGACTTCTTGAGAATCCGCTCTAACAACTTTAGAGCAGGCATACCCATCGATCTCATGGCAACATCGGCCGCAACTATTTCGGCCTCGGGAGTGGAATGACTCACACAACCCTGTCTTTTGGAGCTGCCAGACAACGGAAACCGGGTATTGGGTCCTTGTATATTCAAGTGTCCACCAAAAATAAACGTAGCGAGTCAACGCATCCTGCAAAGTCAGCGTCCGCATACAAGGCCAAGTGCACATCATCCATGGGGTCTCCAACCCAACCGACACATGCGCCAATGTTTAGTATGATGCGCATAGCACATCAAATGATGCAAACCCCGATCATCGGAGTCGGAGTAAGGTGTCCACGCACGGGCTCCTTCATGGCCAACGCAGGAGGTCCCTCCCCGCTGGTCCGGCACTGTGGCAGAACCGTCGGTGGCACAAGATTGTGACACCAATTGCACACGACTGACGGCCCTCTCTGGCAGGCTTCCGCAAGACGTGATTCTTTGTTTCCTCATGCAACTCAGGAGTGACAACCTTGTTCAACTTCACGTCGCCCGCCACCTCAAGATGGCGGTCGACACAGGAACGTAGGAACTGTTCCATGTCATAGGTCACCGTTGTTACTCGGTGCCGTTCCGAGAGTGACGTTTCCCTTGCTTTGATTACAACCAAGGTACTGTCAAGTCCAGTCTCGGGCTCGATCTTCAAACGTGTACGCAACATGCTCCACCCTTGGGCAAGGTTCTTCTGTGGCCCTGCCATTTTGAAGTCGTCGACACACACAACCAGAACAAGCTGGAGCTTTTCATGAATGTACACCGAAGGCCATTCTTCGCCGATGGGTTCAAAACCAACGCACGCACCGATTCATCGCAGTGCTGCTCCCAGAATGTCTGGGTGTCCGTACAGCGCCTTCCTCAACGGGACGACTGGTCTTCTGAACTTATCCCATTTGCATTCACTTGGCACAGCCTCCGGTGGCAGTTCAATCCAACACGGCGTGCCTCTCAAGGTGGCCTGATGTACGCTTGAACAGCGTCGGCATCTGCACATCCCAGCCATCATGACAACCCAAAAAATCCGCCCAACGCGAGGCTTCGAATGAAGCAGGAGAGTTCCCCAAATCTTGAAACATCGCAGCCTCAAAGCTTTGGTTCTTCACTTGGTTCCCCAGCAGCACGCCTCTACCCTTGAACTTCCTCTTAGGATCACCAACGGGCAACTGTGAGTGCTTCTCAACGCAAATGTGCACGAGCCATGTGTATCTCTTCCCCTTTCGCTTTTGCCTCCTTGGCTACAGCGTCATATTCACGCACCGCGCCAAGATCGAAGACGCCCTGGTTAATCCCGACCATTCTTTCTTCATCGATGCCAACGCATGAGGGTTGGTCAGCATCTCTTTCCGGCCGACCGGCCTGGATACTAAAGCGTCGAAGAATCGTACAACTTTCACAGCTTTCTCTCTGTGCTGTATTCGCTCAGAAGTCACGCACGGCATCGATGGGTACTTCTTGGCTTACCGTCTTCGCCTATCGCAGGCATCGCGAGTGGCACTTTTCCAGAAACTACCTCAGCAGACTCATTCATACCAGGTAAGATCGTCGACCGTTGGATCTGTCCCCGATCGTCTCAGCTTCGTCATTATGACTCTCCATGACTGATGCAACTGCCTTCGTCCAGTTTGGAGTCGACTTTGATCGCTTCTCAGATCTGAACTTCCAGGCATAAATGACTACCAGACACTCAAATTCCTTTTCAAGCTGAACGTTTCGTCTCAAGACGTCTGGGACTGCTTGGAATCCATGAGAACAACCACTCCGTCAACAGGATTTACGACAATCCTGACCCATTCAAGCTCAGCCAAGTGCTTCCCATCCATTGGGTTCTTGATCTTTGATATGTTCTTCCGCAACCCCCAATTGTACTGCCATTCTACTCCACCCCAGCGGTTTCGAAGCATTGCTCGATTCTCTTACCACCGGGCATCTGTAATGTCCGTGCCTCTGCTGGCGCAGAAATCTCAGATTCTTGGGATCTTCTTCCTTCCTTTTGCCACCTTCTCTTCTTTGGTGTAGTATTTACTCATCATTTTCCATTCTTCAGGAGTGTACTCTGGAGGTCTCGACGTCTTCATTAACCTGAATCCATCCTTCCCGACAGGATACGGTCTTCCGGCCTTATCGATCTTAACCTCCTTGCCATCATCGTTGACGTACTGAGGAGGCCCCGCCTACATGGCTGCGATTTTCAAGCCCCTGCGCGGCTCAAGATTCAGGGCCGCTTGTGGGGCGTCTTGCGCAGCGCAGTGTGTCCCAGGAGAGATCGGCTCTCTCGAAGGGGAGGAGTGGCTGCTTTCGCTGTGTTTTCTCAGTTCTTATTCCATTATCCAGTACTTATTCAGTTCTTATTCCAGTTCTTATTCCAGTTCTTATTCACGGTTTTGCTGGCAGGGCCACAAGAAACAAGCTTTCTGTGAATCGATTTAAAAAAAAGCAAAAACATTCTCTCTTTTTTTGCGACTCACAGAAAGCTTGGTTCTCGTGGCCCTGCCAGCAAAATCGTGAATAAGAATTGGAATAAGAACTGGAATAAGAACTGGAATAAGAACTGAATAAGAACTGGATAATGGAATAAGAACTGAGAAAACACAGCAAAAACAAGCGCTCCTGCCAAGCACTGCCACTGCACTCCGAAATTCCCAGGACCATCGCATTAGCGCCTTGCAGGCTCCCACTGCAAGCAGTGGCCAGGCCCTGGCTGCATTGGATGCATGAGCGCAAATTGGTGCCGCGAATCGTGGAGCAGTGCAACATGCCTTAACGCTTAGGGTTTTCTTTTCCCTTGTGTTTAGGGCATGTTGTGAATCTACTTACGCGGTGGCCGTTTTGCTCCTAGCCTTGACCGAAACTTGCTGTTTCATTTGAAACCCACCCACCCACCCTGCACTGCCTTATACAAGGCCCTGCAATGAGAAGTTGCAGACGCTCTGCGCTTCCGTTCATGGTCTCCGGACCTCTCGGTCTCCGGACCGCTCACAGTCTCCGGACCCTCCGGACCGGCGTGGGCACGCCTGCCACGCCATGCACGCACTGCACGCATTTGCAAGGACACGCATTGTCTTGCCTTTAAGTTTCACGGGGGGTCAACGCACCTCCTGCTCCAGGCGCATCCGTGCCCTGGAAGCAGTGCTACTTTCAGCAATCCCGGTAAAAAGAACTGCGGCCGCTTCGGACTTGCATGGTTCTTTTGGGTGGTCTTGTTTGGGTTCAAGCTAGGAGCAGTGCAACATGCCTTAACATGTCTGTTCGCTCCGGCTCGCCGGAAATACATATCAGGAGATTTCAATTTTGAGCCCGTCAAAGGTTGCATTTGTCCGTCCTGGAACACAATAGTTTAAGGGCTACGGTAACTGTACCGTAATCCAATGTGCTGCTACTGCATAAACTCCGCATATTCCAGGCCCAAGATCCGAGTGATAAATTTGCTCAACGGCAATATTCTTTGAATCTGAGATCATCGAGATTTCCTTCCAAAAAACCTCTCAACCCATTCAACCCATGAAGCATTGTTTTTGGAAAGTACCGAAAGGATATAAGCAAGGCTCATTTTCGCGCATTTTGGCGCCAAGCGCTGCCGGGCATGCCGGCGCAAATACTGTCAAAAACTGCTATGCTGAGCGTTGGGCTGTTGTCTTTGTTTGCGCAGCTTTGCATCAACATCTTTGCAAATCTCCTTTTGCATGTGCTGAGTGAAATGTATTCAGGCGTGCGCCTAAGTTTTCCAAACTGCGAAAGAAGCTCCTAGCCCTGTCGCTTTTGCCACTTTTGCGCATGACGCGCCCCACCCACTCAAAGCAAAACGAGTTCCCTCGTGGGATTTTTTGACATGGCACTAGGACCGTGCCCGCAGAGTGGGAGGTCATTAACAGCGCCGGAACCTAGTTCACTTCAGAAGATCATGCCGTGCATTTGTGATTATCTTCTGAAAGAATATGTGCTAAAAAAACATTGGATCATGCGCACAATTCAACTTTCAAACATCATTGTGTGACAATCAAGACGTGAATAACATCTTGACGTGTTGCTTCTCTTATACTCCCAGCCCGCTTCGCAAGCTTCGGACAATGCTTTGCATAGTTGCAACTCAGCGTGCAGATGTTTTTGTTTTCGTCTGAATTGCAGGCAACTCTTGCAGTTGCATAAATGCATACAATTTGGTTTTGAATAGGTTATTGCATTGCATGAATGCTGATAACTCAGCCTGAATATTATTGGTGATGAGGAGTTGCGCGATTATTTGCAATGATGCACTTTGCATGAAAACATCGCATTTAGATATATATATATATATGTATATATATATATATAGGCCTAAATTTGGGTGGTTGATCGGGAGCAGACATGTGTTCATGTATGTTATTTTTATAATTTAGCCTAGATTGCAATCTGTGTGTTTGGACCCTTTTGTTTCTCAAAATTGTTTGCTTCTGCAGGCCCAGTTGTATTTGCGTGGGGGTGCCCAACATGTGTGCTCGCGGTGTTGCAGATAACACCAACATATTTACTCGCGGACTCCTGTTTTGCTGCTGTTTGGCTCTCTGCGCGACGACAGAGTCTTTGCGGTGCTTTGCTCAGCATTTCAATTTATTTGTTCTTTTCGGACTTCTCGTCTCCGTTGCTTTTTTCTGTGCCGAGGTGGCGGCCCTGGGCCCTTGCCAGGACGGGGGTGAAACGGATTCCCAACTTGCGCACGCTGCGCTGCAGGATGATCCGTGCCTCCTCAGAGCGTGTAGTGGGCAGGCGCACTGCATGGACGAGCCGTCGCGTCGTTCGTGCCGTGTGGGTTGGCTCTAGGAATGGCACCCTGCGGACGACGCTGTCGTGTGTGCTGGGGGCTGTCAGTCACCGTGACTGCGCGAGCTGCGCGAGCTGCGCGAGCTGCGCGAGCTCGCGCGAGCTCGCGCGAGCCGTTGGTTGTTTTTCACACTCTCAGGTCCTTGGCTTCCAGCGGCCTTTTCACCGAGACCTTGATGTCGGCGCCCCAGACTCCCAGACTCCCGTGACGGGCTTGGCTCCAAGTGGCCCCGCGCAGGTCCCGCCGCAGCTGTCGCTCTGCGTCGTTGTCGCCAACTCCAAAGTCCAAAGGACGGGGCGAATTGGCCGGTTAGGCTGGCACAGGTTGGCAGGTGAGCAGCCGCCTTGTGAGGGCACGGCAGATGCTCCTCCCCAAGACGCTTCGCGTCGTCGGGGCCTGTGACAGCCAGAAGCCATCATATTCTCATTGAGCAAAGGCGTCACGTGCCCACAGCCGCCGAAGAGCTGGCGGCGCACAGCCAGGTTGCGCCGGTTGCGCCGGTTGTATCGGCCAATATCAGCCCGTGGAGACAGGTGCTGGAGCCGACGGTGATCAAGCGTTTTGATGGCCTGATGAAGCGGGGACCTGGGGTACCTGGGGTACCTGGGGCAGGGGTGAAGGCGGAATCCGAGCCGAGGCACTTGAAGCGCAACACCGACAAGCAGGACTTCGAGAAGCAGGTACTTGCTTCTCCATGCGATGTCCTGGTGCCGGAAGAGTGCCCTCACAGATTGCATGGCCGGTTCTTTGCCGCGTCCGCATCCCCACACTGCAGGTATGACGAAGTGCTGCGAGGGGAGTTCGCTCGGCACTGTAGCTTTGGGGCCGCTACCTAAGGCAAGAGAGGTCAAAGGTCCAGTCAAAGATCCCTCAATTCCCTCACATTCAGATCAGGAGCGGCTGAACACGGAGCTGATGCATTCTGGCAAGTGGGCCCCGGCCTTAGAGAACGACTTCGCTATACTTCGCTGACATGAAGGGAGCTGACATCTCATCTAGGTGAAGATGCTGAAGGAGCTGGGCCTGGTCCCAGGTAAGAACTCCAAAGGAGTGCCCGAATGAACTTCGCTGTCGCCCACATTTTGTCGTGTAACACATTTCTTTTAGTTTTTCGCGTTTGCGCGTGTTCACTGCTTCCCTTTCAAGCCATGTGTTTGTTCTCTCTCTCTCTCTCTCTCTCTTTGGTGCTTCCCTCTCAAACTTTGTTTGGGTCTCTGTCTTTTGGACTTCGCTCTTCGCCCATGTTATTGTTCTCAGGTCATGTTTTGTTCTCCGTCTTGTATGCTTTCTTCTGAAGTGATGGCCTTCTTCTTCTTCTTCTTTTGTGCTTCCCTCTAAAACCATGTTTTTGTCTCTTCGTTTTTACGCTTCTCTCTTAGTTCGCGACTTGTTTGTTGTTTGTCTCAAACTATGCTGGGCTTTCCGTCCTTTATGCTTTCCAAAAGAAAATCAAAAAAAGAAAACAAAAAAAACATGTTTTTGTTCTTCACCATTTGTGCTTCCCTTTCAATCGGTGTATTTTGTTCTCCATCTTTCATGGTTCCCTCTCAATAGATGAGTTTGTTGTGCGCCTTTTTGACCTCCCTCTCAAGCCAAGAGGTAGTGCTTCGTCCTTTGTGCCTTCCTCTTAAACCATGTTTATGCTCTCTTTTTTTCTGCTTCACTCTGAAGCAATGTGTTGAATCCGCGTCTTATTTTCTCTCAAACCATGCTTTGTTTCATTCTCGAGCCATATTACTTTTCTCCGTCGCTTTTGCATTCCTTGTGATCCATGTATTTGTTCTCCTGTTGTACGCTTTAGTCTCAAACAATGTCATTTGTTCTTCCTTTTGGCTTCCCTCTAAAAGCCGTGTTTTTGTCTGTTTTTTATGCTTCTCTCCATATTATTGTGTTTGTGCGGCTGACAGCCGCTCACAGCGCCACGCGCTTCTCGCCGATGCTGGGAAACAGATCTGCCCGACTTGGCGTTATAAGCGCATGCGCTCGACGGCATGCGCGCAGCAATGCTTCTGGTCACTCCCATGATCCAGGTAGCGAGATTGCAAAGTGTCGTGACACGTGCCGTCACAGGCGGAATTTTGAGAGGGTCACCAGTAACGAGATGGTAGAGGGACTTCGGCGACAATTCGAGGATGCTTGGCGAAGAGTCCAATTCTATAGCTGCGGACGAAGTCTCTTGATGCTTGCGATACGGGCGAATGATGTTGTTCGGTGTGCGGCAAGGAGCAACGAGAGCAGAGGTTGTTGTGGAGGAGCGCAATCATGCGTGCCCTCTCTCCCATGACGGCGTCCGAGAGCAGATACGCGTTCTCTCATGGTTGTTGGACGAAACCGGATGGGCGGACATGTTGGGCGCATGCTATTTTCCGGGGACGCGGGCAACAAGGTCAACGCAAGGCTGGCTGAGAAGTTGATCAACCAGATCAAGGCGATCGCTGCAGCGTATCCCCCCCAAAAATGTCGGTGCACTTTTTGGGCTTCGCTGTACGCTTGCTTCAGAAAGGGAGCACCAGCAATGACAGGCACCTGCGACGGTGCCCAGGTGCCCAGGCTTGGGTCTTGTCGCTTGTGTGCTCCAGGGCTTAGGTGAGGCTTTCCAGGCGCCTGGTCTGAATGCAGCCTGGAGTTTTTGGATGCCCTCTTGACAGGCCGTGAAGCCCCGGGCTTTTATCTGTGTTTGCGCTTTCCGAAGCCATGCGTTTCTCCGCTTGTTCGATACATAAATATAAATGTATGTATGTTTATGCTTCCTTTTGCAGCATATGCGCGTTCTGCGCCTTTATGCGTCCCTCTTAAACTTTGTTTCATTCTCCAGCTTTCGCGCCCAACCAATTCTTTGCTCTCCGCCTTTTACACTTCCCTCCATTTTCTTTTGCTTCCCTCTTAATCCCTTTATTGTTCTCCGTCTTTTGCGCTCTTAAGCCATGTTTTGTTCGCTGCTTTCTACGTTAACAGCACTCCTTGAAGCCATGCGTGAATTCTTAGTTTTTTGTGTTCCACCTTTCTCTGTTATGTATAACATGTTTTTGTTCTGAGCCTTGTGCGTTGCGCTCTTTCGCCATGCTTTTATTCTCCGTCTTCAATGTTTCCTTCAGAACACATATGTACCGCGAGGTGAGTGGTTGGGCCGGGATTGAAACCCACACGCTCGAGAGCAGGACCTTGCCTTGCTCTGGCTGACGCAGACATCATCTTCCAGCGTGTGCCCCGCTCGGAGCGAAGGAAGGCGAAGGAAGGGAGAGAATGGAGAGATTGAAGTTGGTTGAAGTTGGTTGAAGTTGATTGAAGTGATGCATACGACGAGATTTTGCCCTCATGAAGCTAGGTGCTTCATGACACGGACTACGGCGGCAAGCGCTTGACCTACGACTTTTTCTGCAAGGCAATCCCGAGGGAGTCGGCGGATGCGGACAGAAGGCACTGCACTTTGCAAGGCACTTTGCCTGGTGGCAGTCAGCATCTATCCGGACCTTGATTGGGAGGTGCCCAGTTCGAGTTCGGGCTTCTACGGTACGATTTTTTCTTTTTTCTTCTTTGAGGCAGCTATGGGGGAGCTGCTGAACCGCATTGCTGCCGAGGCAGAGGCGGGAAGCGCTCGACCTGCGAGCGCTGCACGTTTCTGATGCAAGGAGGCCCAAGCAGCAAGCGACGAGCCAGGGGATTTTTCCCTGGATCCGAATGTTCCTTGGACGCACTCAACTTGAGCACGACAGCTCTGAAGCATGTTGAGTGTGTCAAGGTTTTGCTTGTCCTGGATCATTTCAAGCCAAAGTTGCCGGGGCCGTGGCGTGTGACAGAACCAATGGAAGGGGCCATGACCACAGGCATGACCTTTTCCGCTCCTTTGCACGGCGCTCGCTGCCGGGACCAACGGATGCCAGGCAATCAAGCGCCGGACGTTTGTCCTTTGCGTCCATTTCTATCCTTGCCAGGGCTGGCACGGGCACCACTCGGCTCAAGGAGAGATCCATTTGGAAGCACACGCAGGAGTTTGGAAGAGGGAAGCTCGATGCGGGAACAAGCTTGGATCAAGCTTAGCGGCTTAGCGGGTTAGGACACGATCTTCGCTTCCAGGGCCTCCTCATGTATTCTAGGTGCGATGCGTCGGTGTGGGGTTTGGCCTTGAAGCGGCGTTTGAACAGGCACGCGAGATGACATCGCTTGTGGCTGAGAGACGATGCAGCTTGAAAGCTCGTCTTTCGGAGCCCCGATTTCTCTGTGTCACTGAGGATCCGAGTGCTCCTGAGGCAAGTGCCATTGGTTGAGTGTTTCTTCTCGACACATGCGCAATTAGAGCCCAAATCGGATTCTTGGTGCTGTGCGGCGGAAATCGTGCAATGCATTGTACCGTTCTGTTTGCTCCTTCTGCCGATAGTGTCTTGACTTTCTCCCAGGAGGAAGCGCTGAGCCCTACAGGCAGCTCGGCGGCAGCCCTGCCGGCCGTCCAGGAGAGACGCAACTATCAGTTTTTGCTCCCTGTTTCATTCATCCTTGGCCTCTTTTGCATTGCCGCCTCTCCTAACTTCCTGTTTCTCCGATTTCTCCGATTGCTCCGATTTCTCCGATTTCTCCGATTCCGATTTCTCCGATTTTCGAGTGGCCTTTCAAGCCTTGAGCGCGGCGCCTTTCAGGAGTGCGACACCGAGGCCCACGAGGTGCGTTCGCATGCGCTCACGCGAACGCTCTGCGCTCGTGCCTCGCGCTTTTTTGCAGGGAGCCAAGAGTGAGGAGCGCGGAACTCTTCACGACTCTTCCGGGGCGTTTGTGCCGAGCGAATCTGTTGGCTTTTTTGCTTTTGCTTTTGCTTTTGCTTTCGCTTCCGTTTCCCAGGAGCCGGCGCTGCCGAGCCAGGTGGCATCCCCCAAGCGCCGAGCGCCAGCGCTGCCCTCCGCGGCCGTGGACAGCCGGGGAGGCCTGAGAAAGGGCAGTCGGTGTAGTAAGAAGCAGTCAGGGGCAGAAACGGTGTAGTAAGAAGAAGTCTGTGAAGAAGTCTGTGAGTCAGAGCCAGGTACTTGTATCACCGTCGTAAGAAGCAGTCAGGGGCAGAAACGGTGCAGTAAGAAGAAGTCTGTGAAGAAGTCTGTGAGTCAGAGCCAGGTACTTGTATCACCGTCGTAAGAAGCAGTCAGGGGCAGAAACGGTGCAGTAAGAAGAAGTCTGTGAAGAAGTCTGTGAGTCAGAGCCAGGTACTTGTATCACCGTCGTAAGAAGCAGTCAGGGGCAGAAACGGTGCAGTAAGAAGAAGTCTGTGAAGAAGTCTGTGAGTCAGAGCCAGGTACTTGTATCACCGTCGTAAGAAGCAGTCAGGGGCAGAAACGGTGCAGTAAGAAGAAGTCTGTGAAGAAGTCTGTGAGTCAGAGCCAGGTACTTGTATCACCGTCGTAAGAAGCAGTCAGGGGCAGAAACGGTGCAGTAAGAAGAAGTCTGTGAAGAAGTCTGTGAGTCAGAGCCAGGTACTTGTATCACCGTCGTAAGAAGCAGTCAGGGGCAGAAACGGTGCAGTAAGAAGAAGTCTGTGAAGAAGTCTGTGAGTCAGAGCCAGGTACTTGTATCACCGTCGTAAGAAGCAGTCAGGGGCAGAAACGGTGTAGTAAGAAGAAGTCTGTGAAGAAGTCTGTGAGTCAGAGCCAGGTACTTGTATCACCGTAGTAAGAAG